AGAGAGATAATGTGTTTTAAAATAATGAAATTCGTTTATAAACTTCATATTTATATAAGTCCTTTTCAATATTAAAATAACAAAGTTCCATTATTTTTAAAATCATAATCAATTTTAAAATACTATTTTTAAGGTCATTACATTATGTGTCTTTATTTTTGAAATATTAATTATAATTTTAAAAATTGAAAGATAATATTATTTTATTAAAATGTATGTATATTTATATACATGATATAATTTAAAATTTTTAATATATTCAAAATTTTAATTTAATTTAATTTGCTTAACTTAAATTCACAAATATAATTTTCTATTTTTCAAAGTTAGGTTTTTAATTTTTTTTAAAATTGAAATAAAATAATTCTCACAGTACTAGATTAATTCTTTTAAGCCATTTCTAATTTAACGGAGACACAACTGACAACTCTGCTTTTTGTCCATCGAGTCAAGTGGGACTATTGTACGCACTCGTGCAGTGTGAAATTCACAAAATGCGAATCTATTTTGTAAAATAATACAGTTTTATTAGATATTGTATCTTTTAAAATAGATTCCTATTTTTGTTCAGAATTTGAAATAGGTCTCTTTATTTTTTAGCGTCTCAATTGAGTCCTTATTTTTGTTAATTTGATGCAAATAAATCCTTTCCGTCAATTTCATCAAACGGCGTTAATGAATGTGTGACGTGATGTCCTCAGGCCACGTCACACATTCATTAACACCGTTTGATGAAATTGACGGAAATGATTTATTTGCATCAAATTAACAAAAATAAGGACCCAATTGAGACGCCAAAAAATAAAGGGACCTATATCAAATTCTGAACAAAAATAGGGACTTATTGAGACATTAAATCTTTAAAATATTGTTTTTTGCACACAGTATTATGTACTATGCTTCGCCAGCTTTGGAACCACAAATCAAATAAGAAGAAATGACTGGGAAGCACCTACGGTAAGCAAGGAAAAATTAAAATAATGTGGAATGACGAATTAAATTTTTTATTCTGTTTATCTTAAGATTTCGTTTAATAGTATAATGTCGTGTACCTAATAAGCATTGTTCAAGAGGTTAGATGAATCCAGTATAAACTATATTCGGCAACTTAATTTAAAAACAAAATAAATAATTCAAGTTAAATAAACTTAGAGGGTGAAAGATAGAATTTTAAGCAATTCTTCTTGAGAAAAACACTACGCATTGATAATCTAAAGCAATCTTCTACGATCACAACAAAGTTTTCGAAGAATTTTATTAAGATAGGAATATTTATTTCTAATTCAACATAATTGACTTTCTCTATGAGCTGTTTATATTAAGAATGATGATATTTTGATAACATTTTTTAATAATATTTTAACATCATCTATATATCATTCTATGATTGATTGGTCCAAAATTACTCCACAATCAATAATAATAATTATAAATTTTAACATGAACTAATCACAAAATGAATGACACGTGGTTCTTCGTAATGATTGATGTGATTGACATACTTTGATAGTGTAATATTACATTAAAAGAATAAATTTAAATTTAATACATTTTTCTAAACTTTGATTTATTAGAATAAGAGTCTATTTTTTATTTTTATATTATGAATCATGAATTTTTAACATATTTTCTCATACACAAGAATAAGCATAAAAATTAAGAGTATAATTCTTATATCAAATATGGACACAATTTAATTTTTAAAATAAATAGATATATTTATTTAATTTAATTATAAAATTTTTTTATGTGTCAAATATTGTTGACACATTTCAATCTAAATATTAATATAAAATATTATTTAATGCATAAAAAAATATTTTATTGAATTAAAATGATTATATTTATTAATGTATGTTTAAATTTAATAACTATAAACATATTTAATTAATAAATTTAAATATGCTATCCTATGCAATAACATTATTCAACTTGTGTAAAAATTGATTCCCAGCCATAACTCAACCCACTAGTCATGATGACTTGGATCAAACTCAGAAATTGTGGTTATACTTTGTGGAAACTCTAAGCTAAGTCATGCAGGAGTGTTCCTTGTGATTACTTGGATCAAAATGCGAAATTATACAGAAACTGTGTTCCTAGTCCACACATAACAAACACGACTTTGACTTTTTCTCCCGCATTTTCAAGTAAACTTTGCCATCTATAGTTGACCAGAATTCAGCTACTTGCTGGTTCTACCTGCTTTCGCGCCTTATTTTTATAGTCTTTAAAATATTAAACGTTTACAACTTTGAAACTGACTTTTCTAACAATAAACAACATATTCAATGTTACAGCTTCTACATGAATTGCTTTTTAAGCAATAAAAGATAAATTATTGCCTACCTCTTATCAAACCACATAATTTAAATTAATTTAATATGATCTAAACAAATCTTAAAATCAATAGTTACATAATACTTTTTTATCAACAGTTGTACATAATTTATGAAAAAATAATATCAATTTAATTATAACTGTTAGCACAAACATACCAACTTGAATCTCTGAAGGATTTCAAATAAATTTTTCCCAAACTATACTTTTAAACTATTTTTGAGAAAATGTATTTAATATACAGAAATGTCGATATTTTAAATCATGTTTATTTTAGTCATATTTTTTTTAGTTAATGATGAAATGCCCATTTTGTAGAATGTATAGTCTGGAATTTATATTACATTTTGATGTTCGTTTTACTAGATACACAAAAATATAAATAAATTTAACTATCTAAATTAAATAAATATTCAACAATATTTTTGGTTTATATATATATATATATATATATATATATATATATATAAAGGTTTTGGGTTCTCAATCCGAGAAAAGGAATTTGAGTACGTTGTTACTCTCCTAGTTAATGAGGATTTAGTATTCTAAAACATTGATCCTTTTTCTCTTTCTCTCTATTTATAAAACTATATAACTTTATGTTACAAGCTATATCTTTTACAAAATAATCAAATCAAACCTTTCTTATATTTTCATAAAAACCCCAATTTAAATCCCTAAACGATTTAACAAGATAAAAAACATAATCCTGGCGCTTGGTAGTTATCGATTATCATTCGTTATTCTTTCTTCTTCACTACTCTCGACATTTAAATCTTGATATAACTCTTTTGGTCAACTACATGATCATAGCCAAATGGACTCGGCCCAATTTCGCTCTCTCTCCCTAATTGAAACCTTTGCTATGTGCACCTCTCTCCATTATAAGATCGACCAAAAACTGTACACCTCCATCAACCGAGGCCTCAACCTATTGAACCAAAGCCCTCTGGCCTTGAGTCTCGTTCTTGCAATTGAAGTGCTAAGGTTTGAAGCTTTACTTTTCAAACTGTCTGATTTCCTTTCCCTTGTTTAGCTGAGGCTCTGCACACTGGACCAAAGCCACCCAACCATGAGCCTCGTTCTCTGATTGAGGCATTAAGGTTTCGATCCTTGCTTCCTAAGACAAAACGATTCGACTGCTTTTTGAAATTTTAACTTTGTTACGGCTACAAAACTTCCTCCCCTTGGCATGGTGTGATTTGTACACATTTCCCATGACTTCTCTTTTTTCTTTCTCAACTTCTCTATATTTATCACAAACTCCTTTCTCTCCAACTTTGCATTTCCTCGTTTCAGCTGTGCTTCTCACTCTCCATCTTCTTCCTTCTTTATGCTTCTTTCTCTACACAGTCGTTACTCTAGTGGTTTCTCTATCTTCGTTGTTATATTTCATCATCAGTGCATTGCTGTCGTCTATTTGAAGTTTAACTCGCATCTTACTCATTCCACTCTATCTGCTTTCTTCTAGGTAGACATAATCAATGTTATCTCTTGTTCATGACTTCCTTAGAATATCAATGTGCAATTACGATCAATATTGTCTCTAGCTATAATAGAGTTGTTAAGAGAAACCTCTGGTTTTACTACCTGAAATGGATTGCAAAGTTTTGAAATGATCAAGCAGTTCAATAGAAAAAGATGTTATAGTTCAAGTGTGTGAGTAAGACGAACTTGCTTATTTACTGATAGAGTTAAATAAGGTAATTATTTAACAATATCAAATAAAATATCTTATGATATAATTTTTCTAAATTATCTTTTATCATAAACATTTATCAATTAACAAAGCTCCTTTAGTAAAAAATAGAGAAAACGACAAGATCCTATTTTTGTTGTATGTTCCCTATGCAATGTATGACTTGACTTCTTATGATTTTGATTATTTACTTCTTGGATTTATCTTTAAGTTGTTATGAAACACTAGTGAAAAAATCACTTTTTATTATAGGTAAAAATGACCTATTATGATAGATAATCTAGCATCATAGTTATGGGCATTATAATAGGTCTGCGCATTTTATGACGTACAGAAAACTCCATCATAATAGACTCAGCATATTATGACGTACTTTCTATCACCTATCATAATAGATCCAAGTGTATTATGACAGATTTTCACTTATCAGTCATAATATAGTGAATTTATTATGATGCAGCTGGATTTGTACATCAAACCATATATTAAATCCAAATATAACATTAACCTACACTACATTGTAGTCAAGTTTTTACAATTTACTAACACTTAAAATAAAAGAGGCTCACCTAGTTATAATGTTTTCAATGTCTGGAGTTTCCATTGGAGATGAATCATTAAAGATCTACAAATAAAATAATTAAGTTAGAACAATTTTGTAATGATCATTTAGATAAGTATTTAGTGAGAGAAAATATAACAATAGTGAAATACTTTAACATTAGCTTTTTTCCATTTAATACTAGAGTTATAAGATTAACATGAACCAAATGCGCCAAAACAAGAGTATAATGCAACCTAGCCTAGAGCCAAACAGTACCTGATAAACAAGTGGAGATTTCTTAAACTCTTCATCAAAAGTACATTCCTGGATAAGAGAACGCAACTTCATATGTCCCCACTTTTTCAAACTAGTACCAGAATGATATTCAGGTATAGATGCGATTAATCTAACCTGAATATAATGCAAATAGCTTTATGTATCCTGATGTACAGTGTATCTGACAATCTGCAAATTTTTAAACGTTTCAATAAAAAAAGGACATAATTTAATAACAATAAGTGGAAAAGTACCCTTGCATCACTATAATCAAACTTCCTGAAGAAAGAGGGACATATACTAACGCTTCCAAGCGATGGAAGTTTAACTGAGAACTCCGGCCACTGAACCACCAAATAAATAATGTTATGCGTAAGATGTATAGTGCCTATTAAAAATGCCTAATATGGACAGTTATCGTAGCAACACTAAGGATAATATCTAGTCAATCAATAACATCAATATCGAGATCTGTTGGAAACTATTTAGCCTTCATGGGTCGTATAAGAACTTTGGCTAGCAACAAGTTTTCATAATAACCTGTTAAAAACTTTTAACAAGTGAATTTTCTACAATAATCCAGCTGTCTAACATTTGGGACAAGTTACTTCAACTAGGTTTTTCAATAATTATTCACCATTAGTTTTATCTTATCAACTTAAGATTATTTATTCGTCTCTTTCAATATAAATGAAAATCGTCTACCATTACCTTCAGTATACTAAGATATTCAACTAGGTCATTCTCAAATCCAGATCCATTACTTGGACTATTTTGATCTTTCCATGGAAAATCTTGCATCCACAAACCTTGGCTTTTATTGTTTCAATCTACATAAATTAAGTTCATTGTATGCACAATGACTCTCACTCCTTGAGGATATATAAGTAGCATGTCCTTTGAATGGTGTGTCCCAAATAAAATTGGCAATGTTGGTTTGTGCAGAATCCACTTTGCAGGTTTGTTTCTCTAACACTCAGAGAAGTAACATAGCAAGTCAATATCTTTCAACCAGTTTTACGTAATCAATCTTGCAAATAACTAACCAAATATACTAGATCTTAGACAAACCTTTATGCACTCCACCCTTCCATTACTTTCTCCGTGAATGACTAGCACATGGGGAACTTTTGAAAGTGCAGGACAAGCTATCCCAACAAAAACTGAAAGGGAGAAATAGAATGAGATCAACAATTTGAGAAATTCAATCAAAGCTATCTCAGGAATTGAAAACTTATTTGATTGTCCAGGAATAAAAACTCTAGACATCTCTTGTAACGGCATGCTTCTTCTACCTTGTTGATTTGATTCACTAGATAAAGCAAGCTAGCTAATCTCTATCATAGTTTTCAGTAGTGCCAAATAGCAGCACTGTTGTAGAATAATTGTCAAGAATTGAAGAAAAGATTATCCAATTTTTAGTGATCACAAGAGCTGCAAATACTTGTTTGATTATAAGGAATTAAACAAAAGTCAAAGAAAATGGATGAAGTAGCAGCACTGATGCAGAATCATGCAGTAGAGCAGTTGGAACGAGCTACAAAAATTGAATAGCATCATAGTTTGAAGTATCAGCTGTCACAGCTTCAATAGAGGAAACAATTGCAAATAATCAAGGCTGGAATACTGATAGTTTCTCCAGCCAATTTCTCACCAGCCACACTTCTTCCTAACACATGCATTTCAGACAAATACAAATACTGATAGTGTGCCCGTGAGGCTGAGTCTCTGAACATTACGATTCCAGCAATTGAAGGAGAGCCCAAAATCACTTAAAACAGTTTCCCATTCTTGTAGTTGTATCAAACAAGTGTAAAATAGACATTCATTTGTAAACCTATACATTCCCAGGACGGCTAATCTCAGACGACGTAAACAAACCCTAATCACTGAAAACAAAATTTAGAAACAGCATGATGGCGGTAGGGTTTACCTCTGAGAACACACCCATACCAAATGGAGGAAGCTGGGCCATCGTGAACATCGCCGAGGAGGGAGGCGCTGCGGGCCACAAATGCATCCTTGTGAATGGAGGAATATTTGTCGAAGAGATTCATCAGAGGTCGATGTCTAGAGACTGTAAATTTGAAATCGAAGTAAGAAACATTGAAGATTGAAATGAAACCCTGATTAATGGAAATGAAAATGAAAAACTGAAGGAAATCATACGCTGTTCTTGGAAGAGGTAGTTGCCTTGGAGGTGAGAGCCAAGGCGATCGATAGCTTGGCCGGTCTCTCGGATCCAAAATCCGACGGCGTAGAAAGCTTGGCCTAAGGTTCCCATTCTGCTATTTCTAGTGGTTCAGGTACTGCCTCCTCACTTCTGCTCCGATCTTCTCTTCTCCCTTCCCCCACCTCTGGTTCCTTTTCTCTGCTCTCCATAGTCTTTGCACGACAACGATAAGAACTTCAAAAATGAACTCAAGCTTCTAAACGAAATGAAGGAAAAATTAAGTTAGGGATTGCATGTACTATGACATGTAAGAACCAACAATCATAATAGAATCTTACTATAATAGGTTTTCTAAAATATGTCTTAACATGTTTTCACTGTAATTTCAGTTTTGCTACTCGATTCAATTTATTATGATAAATAGTTTTTTATCTATTATAATATACGTAACTTTTATTACGAAAAAGCCATTGTTACACTTATTATAATAGGTTTCTTAAAATACATCATAATATATCTTAGTTTTATTACAAAATTATCACCAGTCAATGTATTATAATAGGTGGATTTCACTTATCATAATAGTCTTTCATGGAATCCTCTTTTTCTACTTGTGAAACTTTAATCAATTTATTTTCGTACCCCCAATAAGCTCAACTTAGATGTCGCAACACTAACACGCCTCAAAATATCAAAAGAATATTTATGCAACTAAAAATCTACTTTTATCATGTTTTTGTATTTCATACTCAATAAACCGAATCTAAAAATATATTTTTATCATGTTTTTGTATTTCATACTCAATAAACCGAATTATAACAAATCTTAATTAAAATATTTCTTTAAATTACAAAAACTATTTAAAAATCCAATATTAAAGGCTAAATAAGGGCATAAATATGTAATTATCATCGAGAAAAGTGTAAAGTTAGAGCCTCCTAGATAGAACTCTTCCATTGAATTATTCTTAAGATAATCATATAACTTAGCTCTTCCAAAATTTTCTTCACCAACATCACGTACTATGTCCATGTCCTTTAAATGATCATTCATCCATCCGTCCACACAAATTGTTCCTCATGATGTTGTGGGCTTTTGTAATACTTCTCTTTGTCTAGTCCAAACTGTATAACTCCTCCTTATACTGAAGATGAATAAATTATCACACATGTTGCCCAAGTCCTGACCTATTTGATTAAGACAACAAACACAAGGACAAAAATATGTCTGGTTCACAAAGTTTGCATGTTCTTGGACATATTGCAAGAATTCAAAAACCTTTTTTTCATACTCTTCACTAATGCGACGTTCATTCATCTAACTTTGATCCATATTATGTTTACAAGAAACTCCATCAATCTCAAATTATTTAACTCTCACAAGACTAGGCCCTACGCATCCTAAAAAAATATTTTTCATAATTTGATAAAATTTCGACAATATTTAGCATTATTCTCCAAAATAAACAACATGAAAGTGATCACTCATGACCATAATAAAGTATGCATCCAGAGAACCATACAAATTAATCTCAATCAAAATTTTATCAAATTTATCCATAAACTTAAACTTACAAGTTATAGCAAATTATGAAAAAAAATAATTTCACACTTTCTCATTGGACAATTCAAAATTTAATACAAACGATTAAAAGTTTAATTTTTTGTGTTAAATCTCAAATGGGAACTAATTTTCACTCAATGCTTAACTATCATTTATACTACAAATATTTTAAAAATTTAATGAAAAATAAAATGCCAAAAATTATACTAAAAAAAATTGTCTAATATAAAAACCATAATGAAGAACACAAACATAACCAATGGCACATACAAGACACATGACACAAAGAACAATAGGAAACTAAAAATTATCTCCAATAACCAATCAGTACATTAAAATGTATGAAATCCAAGAAACCAACCTTCTTAAAGGGATTGCAGATCATTGTCATCGTTGGAGAATGGGGAGTCGTTTTCAGCAATGAAGAGCAGAGGACTCGTCGCCGCCACCTATGGTTAGTGTGAACTCCTCGTCATTGTTGTTGGAAGTGGTGGAACTTACTCGCTGCCATTGTTGGAAGTGGTGGAGCTTACTCGTCGTCGTTCTTAGAAGTGGTGGAGCTTCATCTCACCTTTAAAAGTCGCTGCTTCACAAAAACACAAAATCAATCGATCAAAACTCAAAAAAAAATTCCAACCAAGGTAGCGGATACACATATATTTGAGGTAAATGACCCAAACTGAAGTTTGTTCTTCCTCGCACTTGACAATGAAACTGTTGGTTCACTTGGCAGAAAAAATGCAAATAAATAGTGTGGCTCTAGCTAGTTTTCTATTTTTTTTAAGATAATATAATTGTCAAAGCAAATAGTGTATGACGTCTTATACCCATTAGACGTCTATTATTCAAGCATTTAACACCTAATGTGTTTAGATTTTCACTTCAGTGCTCAATATTTTACTAAAATTAACACATTTAGATATCGGTCCACTAACCCCCGATGTCTAAAGTGGAACTTTAGCAATCGAAGAGTTTTTTCGATTCAGTTTTTAATGGTTATTGCAAAGAATATGATGTCGATGGGTGAGATATCTGACGTCTAATCCGATGTTTAAGAGGAGATGACGTCAGTGGAGAAGGTAACCAACGTCTAAGAGGTGATTTTATTTACAAAAGTATCATTTATCATTTTTAATATTAGTTGTTTTGTTATTTGATATTGAATGTGTGACGTTGAAACAAATTTTACACTAATAATTTTAATGTATTTTTGTGTTTTATAATAAAGAAGCGCTCAATTCATTTATAGGTTTTCTCAGTCAGTTTTGTATGTAAAATATATTCCAAAAAATCAAAATTTTGTATGTAAAATATATTCCAAAAAAACAAAATTTTGTAGTTGTATTATAGATTATATGAAAGAAATAAATGATTTAAAGGTTATTTTTCGTATATATAGATATTAGTTATATATGGAAATTATTTTTAAAGTCTTATAAAAAAAATAAAGTCTAACTTAATTTTATATATTAACTGATTTGTAAATAAAGTTTGGATTTATTTTATTATAAATTAGTTTTATCTTGTATAAATTCGATATAAAGTTTATATTAATTAAAAATAAAATAAAATAAATTATTTTTTAAATATAATTTTGTAAGCTTATTAAGATGTAATCTAACAAATTTAATATTCTAAAAAAAGTGTTTCATCTGTGCCAAATGTACCACCATCATCTTTTTCTTCTTTTTTTTCCCATCCAATGCGAGACGGCTCTTGTGTAAGGAAATGGGAAAAGCTCGGAATATACATTTGGCATTTCCTTGTATATCATATATGAACTCGATTTTAATGTATTCATTGATGATGTAATCTACTAATTGTTTGGAAATTTGAAGATATCGTGTCATTTTTCTGAATGTTTTAATATGGGAAATTAATAAACTTCCAGAGATTCTCTACAATAGCTTGGAAATTTCCCTGTGTAGAGAAAGTTAAAAAATCCCTTTCTTGAGCTGCATAAGCACCCATTCACTTTTCTTCCAGGCATATTCTTACAGTTGTTTTATTTGTGTGGTACCGTTTTGACGGATAATGTAAACTTGGAAAAACTGACTATATTATTATCGAATGAGAAGTATGAAGAAGTCAAGGAAAGCTACACTACTAATTCATATGTGGCATCAACTAGCATAGCTACACTACTAATTCATGGTCTTCCGTTGACATTTCTCCAGCCATATTCTTAGTTAAATATTTTATTTCATACGTTGCTTCTTCTTTTTTATTTCATACAAAATATCTCTATTAACATAACATTTCTAATATAAAAACTTAAGAATAAACCTCTAACTAGAATTTTTCCCAACTTAAATCAGCTTATTTGTAAGTCAATTTATAATTTTTTTGTCCTTACATCATTTCTTTAATTTTTATTTTTCATATAAACCAATTTAAATTCATAAAAAAGTTCAGTTTAATTGTTGTTCCCTTTGAAAAAACGTATTGATGAAAGAACTTTTATAAACCTATTATCAATCTCTTTCAAATCTATCATATGTCGTGTATAATGGTTTATAGGATGAATGAAGAAATGCGAATCATAAACCAAAGGAAAAGGGATAAAAATAAGAGATTATTGGACCAGAAGATGGAAAAAGTCAGAGGTAGGGCTTTTATTAGTACTACTGTTCAACATTTTCATGTTGAGCATTTTTCAATGGGAAGAAGCTCTCCAGTTTCACTCATTACCTACATCTTTGTCCTGCAATGGTTAACATGGTCAAGGGTGCTTCTGGCTGATGAAAGAAGCCATTGCTCAAGTTCCATAATGAACATAGGTGCTGTGCTTGATTTGAGTTCACAGATTGGAAAACATCAGAAAATAGGCATGGAAATTGCAGTCCAAGACTTCAATCGGTTCAGTAGTTCCAAGCTGGATTTGAAGATAAGAAACTCCAATGGAAATTCAGCTCAAGCAGTTGCTAGTGGTAACATTAACTTTCACTTTCAATTTTTGTCTTTCTCAAGTTACAATGTAAGAATATACAGAAAGAAGATAAAATATTAAACTCACTTTTTATCATCACCTAAGATAAAGTTGTGTGAAAACTTTCATATCTTCTCCCAAAGCTATTATATTGTTTTAACTAATGAAAAAAAAATGTCTATAGTTCATTTTTTCTTCTTATAACTGTTTAAGGAAACTTTGTCACGACCGTAAACACACGACAAATATTGTGGGTTAGAATCACGTCATCCTCCTTCTTTTACTTCGCCTTATTTTTATTTCATTAAATTTTTTTTTCATCACTTTCGTTAACAAGTATTGTCTAGGTTTCTTAAACTCGTTTCTTTTTTTCATAATTTCAAGACTGTCTGGTAAAAGTAAAAACTGGTAGGCAATATATTTTCCTTTATTTCTCTTATTTAATTATAATTTTTTTTTATGAAAATAGTATGTTAAATTATTCTTATTAGTTTTTGGACATAACTTTTAAGTATTAGAATCTAAACTCTAGTTTTGATTATCATAATAATGGTTAAACTTTCTTGTAGATGGAATTAGGGAAGAATATAACTAGATTAATCTTTTAACTATTAGAGACTAAAGTTCTTTTTCGGCATTTTATCCTACACTTCAAACGTCTCATTCTCCGTTTTCAAAATTTTCAAATATTTCTCTTTTTATCTTTAATAAATATTCTTTTAACTTTTTTTTCTTTTTATTAAAATAATTTGATTTTGAAATCCAATTCATAAACTATTTTAAATTTTACTTTTAAATTTAAAATTTAAC